GCCCGGAAGCGGTGATGAACAAGCTTCTTTTCCACCACCACCAACGGAAATTCCTCCGGAACTTGAAAGATTTATGAGATTTGTTAGAGATAATACATAAACTAACATGTAACTTGTATTTTGGCACATCTTCCTTAGTTTTTTTTCCTTTTAATGGTGGTATTAGTACCTTGTTGTGCTCATTCCATTGGGGGGGAGGAAGACTAAGAAAGATATTGTCATTCTTTGTTAATGTCGTAATAGTAAAATATATAAGACATTCCCTTAAATATTTCTTTGCAATTTATTTTGTGTTTAAATTTGATATATTATATATCTAATACATATAAACTATATATATATATCTAATACATACAAACTATATATATGTATACATATATATATATATATATATAAGGCAATACATACTATATATAAGCAATTTATACTAGTATATACATATATAGTTTACAAGAAAGTGCCTTTGATAAAAAAAAATAACCCGTAACGAAAAAAGCCCGTTAGGCCCGCGGGCCCGGCTCATTTAGCCCGGGACCATGTGGGCTTAGGACCACCGTGGGCCGGTTCCACACATTGGGACCGTTTGGCCCGGGACCGCCTCAAGCCCAGACCCGTTTGGCCCGGGTCCGGACCACAATACAGCCTTACCCTCGGCTCAAGAAAAGGTGGAAAGGAAGAAAAGGGAAAAAGAAGAAGAAGAAGAAGAAAGAAGGGGAAGAAAGAAAGAAGAGGGAGACAAAAGACGATAGGAAAAAGGGGAGAAAAAGTAGCATCAAATAATAACAATCAGGGAGCAACAATTTCCAGTAAAACGGGAGAAAAAGTAACATCAAATAGTAACAATCAGGGAGCAACAATTTCCAGTAGCAATTTTCAAAAACAATGGATGTGGTTGCTGAGTATCAGATATAATAACAAACTAGAAGAAAGTATCTTTCAACCAACAACAAGAATATTACTACTACCACTGGGTATTACACATTTGAATATGTTCTAAATTATGAATGTCAGTTGTTCTCCTAAACCTTTTAGGAATATCGTAGTAATGTTGGTCGATGAAGTCTGATATTTCAAGATTGACTACATCTAGTGATGTTATTTGCAATATTGCTAATTAACATCGTGACTCACAGAACCCTCCAAGTTATTGGCAGTCACACTGGAGTTACAAAATGAAATGGATGAGAAGCAGGGAACAATGGAACGAGTAGTTATGCAGAATTAAATTAGTATATTCTTAAACTCATGTTAGGATCTGTTTGAAAATGAATTTTAGTTATGAAAATGCAACAAAAACAAAATCATGTATTTTAATTACTAAGGTAATGAAATACCTGATGATGAAGAAAAAAGGGAATTGACAACGGTGTTGAAGAAAATAGGATAAGAGAAAAGAGTAAGCTATTTGCTGGGCCTATGACAAGCAACTATAATGGAGAAGCATGATACTTCTTGTGAAGGGAGGGGGAAAAGCAGGGTGTTTTAAGGCATCTATCATCAAAATTTCCTTCGCCAACTTGATTATGTGCTGTTTATTGAATTGTCCTATCTCTCATGGCATCTCGTTTTGATGTTCAAACACAGGGAAAATGTCATTTATGTGTCTGCACTTCCAATGACCCACTAACTGTTTATAATAATGTTGAAAAACATCCATGAGGTCTTTAAGAAGAGTGCCTTAAAGACTCACCTAACGTTTTTTTCTAAGAGCCTAGGCAAACACTCAATAGGATGTGTCTAGCATTAAGCTGATTGAGCATAGATGATTGGGCCTTGCCGTGCCTTCTGACCAAGGTACACCTTTGTAAACTAAAGGTACACCTTTGTGAACTATCTTTTTGATGTTCTCATGTTAGTACACAAAGGATTTAGTTAATGCATGCACAGTTAAGATATCTGATTGCTTAACTCCAGATTAATGTGAAAATATATATGGTAGTCAACTCCCAGCAGATGCATTCGTATTTTTTCCTTGCCGAGAGTCTATCAGAAACAACCACTCTACATGCACAAGGTAGGAGTAAGGTCTGCGTACACACTACCCTCCCCAGACCCCAACCCCATTGTGGGATTACACGGTGTATGTTGTTGTTGTTGTTGTACACTAATAGGGACACAACCCCTTATCCTTGGCTGATGGCTACTGGAAAAAATGGTGAATAAAAATTGGTGAATTGACAAGTTGTTTTAGGCAACTTTGCCGAGGTGATTTTTGCCCTCTTTTCCCTGTTGCCTATAATAAAATGTGACAAGCTTGGATCAATTTTTGGTTGATGAATACTTGTCGTATGATACCAGCCACTTAGACCTTGGCAACATTCTCATGAATCTGGTTCTTTTACTCATAAAAAGAAAACAAGTTGTTAAATCCACGGGCTCAGGATTAGTGGTTATGAAGTTTTTGGTTGGTTATGATCGAGCCTGTAGTTTTAGTGTTAGTCATCAAACTTGAGGAGTCATTATGTCTCTTAGAGATCCGATGAAAGAAACAAAATTACTTGTAGCCTCTTTTTTCAATGTTGTATTTTAATATTATCTAAAGGTGCTCTTCTGTCACCATTGGCTCCGGCGTCCTCCTCTAACTGGACAACTTCCATGTCAACCTCATTTCAATTTTTGTTTTGTTTTTAAGCCTATTGGCCGACATTGCCACATTGGCATTAAGACTTAATAAAATTATTCATATATGCCTACTTTCTTTAGTCGTTCACTGATACCTAACAGTTGAAAGAGAACCGGACTTTTAAGGTTCTGTGCCCAGAGTGTTGTTTCAAGTTGCATTCATTCAAATAGTATTTCATTAGAAACTTATAGCCTGTTTGGCCAAACTGGAAAAATCAGCTTATTTTGAGAAGTACTTTTGAAAAAAGTGCTTTTGAAAGAGAATCAGTTTGTGTTTGGCTAATCAGTCTAAAAAGCACTTTTGAGAAATAATTTGTGTTGGCCAAACTTTTTAGAAAGTGCTTTTAAGTGTCAAATTACGAATAAGGACATAAATAGATTTACTTAATAATTAATATTATAAGTAAATAAATAATATCAAAATTTTGTTATTACATGCAATAATTAAAAAAAAATTCATTTTATTTAAGTAAAATATGAAAATAAAATTAAAAAGTACTTAATTCTTTTAATATAAGTTAAATATATTAAAATTCCTTCAACAAATATAAAAGCATTCACCCCTAAAGTCACTATATATTAGAAGTTTCCTAAAAATAAGAAGAAATATTTATAAATTAATATCCTAAGTATTAGGTTTAAGGGTTATTTTGGTATATACTATATTTTGTTAAGGGTATTTTAGGTAAGAAGAAAAGCCAAAACTGCTTCTGCTTCTGCTTTTGGAAAGAAACTACTTTTTTCTGCTTCTCTGAAACTGCTTCTGCTTCTTCCCAAAAGCACTTTTTTTTCCCAAATAAGCTTGGCCAAACACCTCAAATTAGGAAAAAAAAGTGCTTTTGGGAAAAAAAAACACTTTTTTTGTCTTGAGAAGCTTGGCCAAACAGGCTATTAATGTGAAAACTGAATTTCCTTGAGGATATTTGAAGGCAGAAATAAATTGCCATTACTGTTCATGATCGATATGTATATTTATTAGCCTACAGAATGTCTTTTAGTGGTAATGAATTTTTTTTAACCTGTTAATTGTAACTTTATCATTATTTGGTTGCTACTTATCTTCATCCGCTAAATGAATATCCTTGTTCATCATTTACTTTGCTTTCATGATAAATTCATGTTTGTCCTGTCGTTGGTGGACTTAATGTATCTCAGAGTTAGTTTACAACTTTACCACATTCAAAATTTTGTCGATGCAGTGATGCATTAATCACTAGGATATTTTTAATTCTATAATTTTGATGCTCTTGGAGAAAATGGGGATACAAGTCATTTGTCTTTGATTTAATCCTAAGTGGCCGGATTTGAAGTTCATTGAGGCAAAATATATTCATGATGCATTGCATCTATTCTTTTCTCTTTTTTGCTTTTTAATATGTTTGGTGGCCTTAATGTAATTCATTCTTTTCAAGTGGTTGATTTACCAATTAAAGTAAACAACATAGTTCATTTTTTTTAGCACAGGCTATGAACTTCTGTTTAGTTACTATTCAACCATGTATGTGGTTAGTTTTGAATTAACTAATTTATTTTTATTAATTGCTGGATAATTTGATGAACTGTCTAATAGGTCATACCTGGTGGTTCTGCTGAGTTTGCTGGGCTAAAACACAACGATGTCATAATTCAATTTGGTGGCAGAAAAGTTCGAAGTTTCTTGGAGGTATAATGTTTTTCCCTTCTTTTCATTTGCAGTAGCTCTTACCTCTAATGTCAGAAAGGCGCAGAGTTGGGCTAAAATTTTAAAAATTGCTTATAGTAGTTTCTATATGCTGAATTTCAACTACTAGACATCTGGCCGCTCTACCAGTTGATTGGTAAACCAGGTCAAGTTATTCTGTGTTTTTATATGCCCATGTCTCATCGTTACTAGGTAAGCTATCTATCTTAGGAACATAGAAAATGTATAAATTCTGGAAGACACTTGTTCTAATATGTGTGTTCGTTTGTCTTTTTTATATGATCCCTAGGACATAAACGTCCCTTCATTATATTTGCATTAGCTATTTGGTCATGAAGATAGTTGCCATTTGGTCATGTTAAAGGGTCCTAGGTTCACCCACTCAATCCCTCTTATTATTTGGATCAGATTGGGTAGACATTTTCCTCAAGGTTATGAGAAAATATGCATGTAAAAAGTATCCAAATTGGTAGTCCAGGCTATGGCTTAAGGGAATTCAGATCCGAGATCAGCCCTGCCTGGCCTGGCTTTTTTATCAGGTCTAATCGATGCTATTACTAGATGTTTATTGGGTTTTCGTTTTGGACCTTAATGGTAGCCTATGTGCTACTCTGCCGAGAACCCTCCTATTCTTCTAGTTGATCAATACAATGTAGCATTCAAGTAAACGTACTGAGATATATACATGCATACACACAAATACTATCAACACTAACAAGGAGAAAACATGCATACAATAAGAATTGCAATATCCTATTGGTATTAATTAGCTTTTTCTTTTCTTATTCAAATTGTCTTTAGCTATTTCATGACATGTGGAAGCATGTGGGAGAATCAGTGGAGTTAGTTGTGATAAGAGCGAGTGCTGATGTTCCTTTGCATCTTACCATGGTGGTGGAGGAGGCCACATCAGATAAATTATACAGGTATCTGATGTTTATTTATCTAAACCGGAAACGTCGTTTTATTCATGGAGCTGCTATGTTTCTCATTTAATTTTATTTACCTTCGTTCTCAATGTCTTAAACGTTCACTTTTTCAGCTGGCCATTTTGGGAGGTATGATGACATTCGAGAAGAGTAACATCTAAGGGTTGCAGGTAATGGAAATATAATATAATGGTGGTTGGACTTCTGATATGCATCGCGATTTTAACTGATTTGTGCTGACTTTTACGTTTCTCTTCTGCTATCATTATCACAATTTGTTTGTTGTTAAACCTGATTCTCAATACTCATACTAGACAAAGAAGGGTGATTTATTTTATATAAATTTCAAAGGCGTTAGATGTCCGTGGGATTGACTTTTTCCATTTTCCTATCCCATTAAGTACCTTGTTACATCTAGTGGTTAAGTCTTGTTTTTGCTCAGACTTCGTAAACTTTGTAGCCTCCCTGCCTTTAGTCCAATTGTTGTCCTTCAATGTCATACTATCAGTATGTTATGAAGATGCAACTAATTTTCCATGATTTAGAAGTTATTTAAAATATATGACCTGAGAGAGAGTAAGTAAATTGTTGGCACTACATATAAAAGGAGGAAATAATCTTCCTAGAGCAGCTGTAATACAAATAAAAGAAACTATCGTAGCCATTTCACACACACACACACACCCCATCTGATAATCAATAGAGAGACAACTTTGTTCTTGGACAACAAAGAGCAAGTTACACTTTTAGCAGGGGTTGGTTTGTCAGTCTATATGGCATTTATGTGTTGAAGTGCCTTTTTGTTTGGTGTGGGGGAATTTTNGGGTGGTGAGAGGAGCTTATATTGGACTGTTCCAGGCAATTTAGCAAGTTGTGCTAACTTTCGAGGTGATTGAGTTTATAACATTGTGCTGATTTATTTGATCGCTTTACTCGAAGAAAATAATGCTACTATTTCCATAATATTTTTGGTGATATTTGCAGGTAGTTGAGTAGCAGATAAAGTAGTGAGCAGCTTTGCCCCTGATAACTGACTTTTGTGAAACACTTCTTGGAACTGTAATAAACTTTGGCAGTTTCACTGTGTTGGATTGCAGTTGGATGTTCTCCAAGCATTTTGTTGCATTAGGATGGCTAGATAGAGAGTTATTAAGTAAAATTAGGATGGCTAGGTTTTTTTCTATGTTCTCCGAATCACTTTTCTAGAAGAGGTTTCTTACCCTTAGATGCTATGGACTTGTCAGTAAAGAAACATTCTTCTACTACCTCTGTGCTTTGGGCATTATGACGTTGAATTTCTTTGGATCTCCATATGTGAAAGGTTCTCAATTGCCAAATTCAGACAAACTGAGTTTGTTAGATTTATTGTTTTGATAAATTGATTTTTGGGGGTTTGTTCTTCATGATATTTATTATTTCAAACTTATGATTCAAATTTGAGCTCATTTAGAATAGATTTGAGTATTGAATCGTGTTGAATTGTTGAAATTCAAAGAACATGTTTTTGACTTTGGGCATTTTGCGCTTCAGACTAAAACGTTAAGTACATGCAAAATATTGACTGCCCCTCAGACTAAAATATGTTAAGTGCACTTAAGATGTACTTAAGCATATGCGTCTGATGTATGGATGCACTAAATAGTTATCATCTGAAGTCACAATATATAACTGTAACTTCCCAACTTCGGACAAAATTTATAATTTCAGACGAGGATTATTTGAAATTGTGTCCGGAGTGAGTAAAATTTAAAAAAATAAATATTGGGTACAGCTTAAGCAGTTGCCCAAAATCGGTTATTTGAGCACTTTCCCCTTTATTACTGTTCTCTTCGTCCAAAAAAATAACAGAATTTTCTAAGTTGGATTAATTTCGATTGAGAAAATTGGGTGCATTTGTATCTATACCCGCTTTTTGGGTCACCTTTTAACTTGTGCCTGCTTTGTAAAAAAAATTGCAAGCGTACCCACTTTTTCGCGTAACTTCAGCATACGGGGTTGAAGTAGCAAAGACAATCACGCAAAACTTCAGCATTCTAGTAGACGGGACTGAAGTAGCAAGTGTGCTGAACCAAGTGTGCTGAAGTTTTTGTTTGTAATTGCTGAACTTAAGCATAGTAGCTGAAGTTTTGTTCTCTATTTGCTGAAGTTGTTGTTTGTAATTGCTGAAGTTTTTGTTTTTGTAACTAGCGAACTTTAGCTCTAGAGTTGAAGTTTTTGTTTTATAATTGGCGAACTTCAGCTCTAGAGCTGAAGTTTTTGTTTTGTAACTGGCGAACTTCAGCTTTAGAGCTGAAGTTTTTGTTTTTGTAACTGGTTTTATAACTGGCGAATTTCAGCTCTAGAGCTGAAGTTTTTGTTTGTAATTGGCGAACTTCAGCTCTAGAGCTCTAGGGGGCATGTTGTACCCACACGAAGTAACTTAAAGCAACGTTAACAGGAACCAAGAAACATCATTATCAATCCAATCGACAACTGAAATCTCCAATTTCCGCCAGACCCAATTTACCAAACAACAATATAAAATTAATAATNTTGTTTGTAATTGCTGAAGTTTTTGTTTTTGTAACTAGCGAACTTTAGCTCTAGAGTTGAAGTTTTTGTTTTATAATNTAGATTTATTGTTTTGATAAATTGATTTTTGGGGGTTTGTTCTTCATGATATTTATTATTTCAAACTTATGATTCAAATTTGAGCTCATTTAGAATAGATTTGAGTATTGAATCGTGTTGAATTGTTGAAATTCAAAGAACATGTTTTTGACTTTGGGCATTTTGCGCTTCAGACTAAAACGTTAAGTACATGCAAAATATTGACTGCCCCTCAGACTAAAATATGTTAAGTGCACTTAAGATGTACTTAAGCATATGCGTCTGATGTATGGATGCACTAAATAGTTATCATCTGAAGTCACAATATATAACTGTAACTTCCCAACTTCGGACAAAATTTATAATTTCAGACGAGGATTATTTGAAATTGTGTCCGGAGTGAGTAAAATTTAAAAAAATAAATATTGGGTACAGCTTAAGCAGTTGCCCAAAATCGGTTATTTGAGCACTTTCCCCTTTATTACTGTTCTCTTCGTCCAAAAAAATAACAGAATTTTCTAAGTTGGATTAATTTCGATTGAGAAAATTGGGTGCATTTGTATCTATACCCGCTTTTTGGGTCACCTTTTAACTTGTGCCTGCTTTGTAAAAAAAATTGCAAGCGTACCCACTTTTTCGCGTAACTTCAGCATACGGGGTTGAAGTAGCAAAGACAATCACGCAAAACTTCAGCATTCTAGTAGACGGGACTGAAGTAGCAAGTGTGCTGAACCAAGTGTGCTGAAGTTTTTGTTTGTAATTGCTGAACTTAAGCATAGTAGCTGAAGTTTTGTTCTCTATTTGCTGAAGTTGTTGTTTGTAATTGCTGAAGTTTTTGTTTTTGTAACTAGCGAACTTTAGCTCTAGAGTTGAAGTTTTTGTTTTATAATTGGCGAACTTCAGCTCTAGAGCTGAAGTTTTTGTTTTGTAACTGGCGAACTTCAGCTTTAGAGCTGAAGTTTTTGTTTTTGTAACTGGTTTTATAACTGGCGAATTTCAGCTCTAGAGCTGAAGTTTTTGTTTGTAATTGGCGAACTTCAGCTCTAGAGCTCTAGGGGGCATGTTGTACCCACACGAAGTAACTTAAAGCAACGTTAACAGGAACCAAGAAACATCATTATCAATCCAATCGACAACTGAAATCTCCAATTTCCGCCAGACCCAATTTACCAAACAACAATATAAAATTAATAATTAATTTCTCTTGTCCCATTTTCACATCAAAATTGTGCATAAGATTCAAGTTGCAAAACCAAGATAGAACCTTTACAGCTGAGGGTGTCGGCGAAAAGGAAAAAATGATTGAAAATTTATAGGACTCACCGGAGAAATAAGAAGAAGTAGATAGGGATGAACCTTACTTCTAGAAAAAGAAAAGATAAAACTTTGAGGAGGAAAAGGAGGAGGAGAAATGGGGCTGAAGTTGTTTGCAAAATGGGTACAAGTTAAAACTTTTTTAAAAAAATGGGTATACGTTAAATGGGGGCGACCAAATAAGGTGCCTCGTGCAATTTTTACAAAAAATCGGTATAGATCATATAATCATAATATTTCCTCAAACCATAGTTTGCAGTGAGAAATATGTATAAAATATACATAAAGAAAAATAACTATACCTCACTGTCAAATAGAAAGAATTACAAGAAAATACGCATGACTTCACATCATAACAAAAGATGGCCAATGTTTTTAAGTTTTATCCTACATAGCCCATTGAAAGCACTAGCAAATTCAAAATTTGTGTTCTTATAACGATTGTCTCTAAAAGCTATGGAGTTAAATATGTATTCTCGCAACAATTGCTTTCACTGTCTCTTCTTCTCACATCTTCTACATATGCTTCAAGGGGCCGTGTATTTTTTGCTTCTCCCCCTGTGTCACCTGATTGCAATGTAAAAAAATTGAAAAGTAGAAGTCACCATTGAAGGCCATTCAAAGTTTTGCTTTCGAAAATATGATTTTTTGAGTTTGTTAGTTGTTTGGATTGTGTGTTGTTCCAATTGATTGCAAATATCCAAAGGAGTTCAAGATTAAATTTGAAGTGATGTGGAGTAGATTTGAGCAAGATTTGAGTTAAATTTCAGAAAAGACGCAAGGAAGAAGACGAAGTCAGTTTTTTGTATAATTTTGTATAATCTTGTATAATAGTGTATATGAGTGTATAAACACATCTTATACACTATTATACACTTTTATACACATTTATACAAACGTCTGTAGATGAGCTTCTTCCACGATTTTTAGTTGCAATTCTTGTTCAAAACTAGTCCAAATCTCCATTAAATGACTTCAAATTTTATATACAACCTCCTTATACTATTTCTAACAAGTTTAAATGATACCCACTCCAAAATTCTCATGAAATCAAATTTGGAATTTTGAACCCACATATTTAAGCTTGTTAAAAATCAAGTTTTCACTATCCAAGTGGATTTGGTTTGTTGAACTAATATTTGAGTCACAATTACTGATTTGAAAGTTAACTTAAAAGTTTGAGCAATCTTTTTCAAAAATTAAATAGTAATTTCGAGAATCTATTGGAGTTGAATGTTGAGTATTTGCCTATTATTTTGGGCTAGTTGATTGTAAATTGAAATATGAGCTATAAAATTGAAAAGTAGGGAGCTCAGTTGTTCTTATGTGAAATTTTCCCTATCAAATAAGTTTGTATAATTCTTACTAACCATATTACTCACGTGTAGGAGTGTCAAATGGGTAGGTTGGGTTTATTTGGGCGGGTAAAAATAGACTGAGTCAATAATGACTCGACCAGTGCAAAAGTTACTTAGGCTGAGGTGGTTTGGATCAAGATGAACTAAAAATTGGATCATACTAAATATAAGACTTCTTCTTTTGTTATGCTTATATATAATATATTAAACAAAAAATAATTATTTTCAAAATATCAAACAAGAATTTTATTGTTGTTATAAAATAAAAAGCAATTTAGTAAAATATGAACAAGAAATAAAAGCAATTTAGTAAAACATGAACAAAAATAAAGATAGAGAAAAGGAAGAGATTTTCTTCTTCAATTGTGTGTATTTTCCTATCTATTACAAGGCCTTTATATAGGCATAAAAAGTGAAGAAAATATGTCATGGAATATGTCATTGAACATACAAAATATGTCATTGAATATGTCATTAAGCATTTGAGATGAAAATCATGGAAAAGAATAGACATCCACCATAATGTGATATTTATCATAACACTCCCCCTTGGATGTCCATAGATAATGTGCCTCGTTAAATCCTTACTAAGAAAAAACCCTGTAGGGAAAAAATCTTAGTGAAGGAAAAAGAGTACACATATCTGCAATACGCTTTATTTGCTGCTTCGTTAAAAACCTTACCAGTAAAATCCAGTGGGACAAAACCTAGGCTAAGGGAAAAAGAGTGCAGCACGTATCTTACTCCCCCTCATGAAAACATCACTTTATTTCCCGAAGACGACGCATTCCAATCTTCTGTCTCAACTTCTCAAATGTTGAGGTTGGTAATGCCTTAGTGAACAGATCAGCCAAATTTTCACATGAATGAATCTGTTGAACATTAATTTCACCATTTTGTTGAAGATCATACGTAAAAAAGAACTTTGGTGAAATGTGCTTTGTTCTGTCTCCTTTGATGTATCCTCCTTTCAGTTGAGCAATGCATGCAACATTGTCTTCATATAGTGTAATTGGATTATCTGTTTTCATAAGAAAACCACACATTTCCTGAATATGCTGAGTCATTGATCTCAACCAAACACATTCCCGACTAGCCTCATGAAAGACTATTATCTCAGCATGATTTGAAGATGTGGCAAC